GTAGTCAACAGGGCATGGAGAGGAGTGATTTGGGGCAACAGTGAAAAAAACAGATCCTGCCACCCACCCTGCCTTTAACAGAGCTGCAGTATGCTCCTGGAGATGTGTAGCTCCCCCATCTGTGGGGCTCCCTGTGGGGGAAGCACACAAGTTGTGGGGCTCAGCCACAAGGTACCATCAGGACTTCAAAGCCAGCTTTTGCTGGCTCCCTCCCAACTTGCCACCACCTCCCCCACTACAGGCAAGGCTGCATTCACATTCTGCCTGTCCTCAGATAATATTGTGCCTTATGGGCCCTCTGCCAGCATCTGCTGTGGCTTTAACAAGAGAAGACAAGACCCTAAAAAGCTACCTTGAGTTACCTTGAAGTCTGGTAGGTGGTAAATAAAGCAACATCCTATTGTGCTGTACTCCCCCAACCCTTTGTGTTTTCATAAAGCTCTTGGACATTATTGGGGGTGAAGGGGGGAGGAAAAAAAAAAAACTCCGGGGAAACAGCTGATTAGATTCTGGCAAGGGGGCCCAAACATCTGCTTCAAACAAAAGACATCTGCATATTTCACATTTATTTTTCATAATTTACAGAAGCAACCTGCCAAAATTTAGCAAGGGAGAATAAACTAGCACATAATTAGCTAAAGTTTGCTTGCTTTAGAAGTTATTAGCATGAAGCCCAGTTGCTCACCTGGGAGGACATCAAGGAATGTAGATAACTACAGTTTGATTTTGCAAATTCAATTTTCAATTTGGTGTGCCAGGCCAAAACACAATGTTGCCATGCCAATTAATGCAAGCCAGCAAATGTCCTGATGTCCCCATGTCATCCACTGTACAGCTGTCTCAAAGGCATTGATAACACTGTTTATTAAATAAGGATCGATTAGCCAGACGGTTTTTGCTCTGGTTTACACGGTACTGCAGGCTGCGGGTTGAAGAGCAGAACAATCCTCCTTTTTAAAATCAGGAGGTACGCTGTGTGCTGTGTGTACAGATGGTACAACGAGTGCTGGGGAAGCGGGCATGTGAATTTTTCAAGGCAGCCAAAGAGCCTTCGTTAAAAATGCAGGAAATAGATCCAGGAATGTATCTACCCTCCGTGAGCTACATTTCCTCCACTGAATTTTGTCATCAGTACATCTGATAGCTAGTACACGTCTAATTTTAATAGACTTAAGGGGAATAGCATGAAATCCTAAGGTTTTGAAATTCAGCTTTGAAATCAATAGGTGTTTCACTAAGCATACTCACTAACTCAGTATTTGGCCTGTAATGGCAATAAACAGAAACATGCAGAACTTCAGAGTGGGAAATCCTGCCTTTGCTGCAAATGGGAGTAGAAAAACTCCTGTTAACTCTGACACAGCCGGGGTTATACCCTAGAGCTGAAACAGGAGTTGAAGAAATAGGAAAGGGCTTTCTTACAAACCCCAAATTAAACCCAGGTTCATAAAAGCATCTGTAAATCTTCTGGATGAACCAAGGTAGAGGTTTGCCCTTTTCTCTCCAAGGAAGGATTTATTGCTTCAGACAGAAACCATGGGAAACTCACTTACTTGGACTGAATTCTGCTCCACATTTCAGATTTATTTGAACCTGAATCTCAGAGCAAAACTCAGGGAGTGAAAACTTAACTGCCAAAAAAAAAACCCAAAAAACTGTCAATCCCAAAGGAACACAAATTGCCAAATACAGCACAGTTCTAAAAGACGTTTCAAGCCCCTTAATCTGGGCTTCATGGCTTGCACCTCTCCATAGCAAGATGAATCCAAGGCTCAAACTGTACACCATGAACTCTGTGGGAGTTGGAGAGAACATATGAGAGTGAAATAACACCAGTCATATCTGGGAGGGTTCAGTTCTAAGGTTTTGCATCTGAATGCTGAAGGATTTTGGGCAAGAGCAGTCACAGGAAGACTGGAGTAGAAGCCTCTTTTTGTACCAGACTCAATCCCTGTTCAGGTGAGAGTTTCAAAGCTCTGAATCATGCCCATCACTGTCTTAAAGACACTTTCTTTTCCCCATGCCAACTTACTGCAATCGAGTCATAGCATCAAACCCACCTAATTTCACCATACAAATGACAATCTGTAACACAACAATCTCCGTGACACTAAGTCATTCAGAGGCAGCATTTGAACTGGTACTAAAGCTGAGTACTGCATCATTAGAAGAGCTCCATCTAACCCAAAATGGCAACCACTGTATTGGTGGCACTGAATTTTGCTAGAAAGGATCTCTTTCTTTGAGCTTGATTTATATATTTACTGTATTTAGAGTGTTCTTCAGACAGTCTATTTACCTGCATCTAAACACTTCCAATTTGGTTAACATAGTTTTCCAATTCCTACTGCCTTGCTTGGAACAGCCACAAATGAGCTTCTGTTGCTTGTTCAAACTGGACAGGCTGTTCTCCAACACTCCCATCTTTGGGCTTACACTCAGAGAAAGCCCTGGAGCACTTGCTTAACACATAAGTGGGCCTATAGTTTTCTGCAGAATCAGGATTCAGTTACACTGCTGAAATCACCGCTTTGCACAAAGCATGAAGATTTTTATGGTGTGGTTGGTCACTACCAAGTGAACCAAGAACAGCTACTTCTCTTCTACAGACTCTTTATTCCTCAGAAATCAACTTTTCCCAGGCCCCACTCCTTATTGCCACTGCATCTCTGCCAGAATTATAACCTGCAGAAACACTAACAAGTAGAAATAACATTTCCTTCCACTGTGCTAGATATAGCACAAAACAAGCAGCAACACATGAGGACAGCAGTAAGCAGACAATACTAAGCATTAGTAAGTATATATATACTCATAGGATAGATCTGTTGCAGTGAATTGTGGCCTACAGTATCTTGACAAAATGTAACTGTGCCTACATGTCTCCTTTTCTTAACACTAAGTTTGATCTCAGTCATGTAAATCATGTAATTTAATTCCCCCTGCTTTGTTAGTATTCAACTTGTTCAATCCTTTTAATTACACATACAGCAATTTATCATATATATTCTGTTATAAAGATATAATTAAACATATATTAATACAGTTTAATGATCTTGCCAGTGACCAAAATTCTCCTGTGGATTAAACAGAAAAGGAGGCATTGAACGTAAATTTGTACAGTAAATAAACAAAACACAGACAGCCTTGTAAAGCAGGAAGAAAAACAAGGCCTACATGGCCAATCTATTTCAAGAATGTTACAAATGGGAAGCATTTACTATTTTGAAAGCATTAATCATGTACTCACTCAATTTATTTACTTATCTATGTTCTCCGTGTAAATCTTTCTTGGAAGCACGTAAACTTCTTAGAGCGATAAACAAGAAGTGAAGTCACTTTTGGTATTTCACCTGTTTATACTGTAATTACTTAACTTTGTTGAAAGTTGATGAATTCAAAGCTTTTCATTTCTATCTGCACCTTTTAGCTAGAAGGAATCTATGTTATACTTCAGTATAAAAGTGTATGAGTTACCACTATATGATGTAAGCCACAAACCTTATATATATATATGCTCTGAGCTCATTGGTATTTGCTATGAGTTTCCTCACATCTACAGAACAGAAGACAATTGACAGCACATGAGTAGATATTCCATATAGCTAGGCATCAAAATATTTGATAGGCTAATAAATTCATATTCTAATACTCCCTATGATAAGCTTTTGACCACGTAAACCCTCAACCTCGTGTCACTGTTCCACGTTTTTCTTGGAATGAGAGTATGGACATGTAAAAGGTCAGAGAAGAGCTAGAATTGCTCAGTGCAATATAAGTAGGCACTGCAACGTTTTAGCTATATGCCTGTTATTTTCTTTCTTCTGGAAGATCACTTTACTTTTTCATTTGAGATGTGTTGCACAGCGCGGCAGCCTGCTGCTTTTCCTTAGTTTCATAGAGGAATGGTTCAATCATCTTTTTTTCCACGTTCACAAGACTGGACAAGCCCTGAAAAAAGCAGCGACCCTTTGGATGTAGCAAGAAAACACCTCTTGCAGTCTCAGCCCCCTCACCCCACTTCTCCCACAGCTGTACCTGAGCCAGGGACATGATTTAGTGGTGGACTTGGCAGTGCTGGGTTAGTGGTTTGACTCAATGATCTTAAAGGACTTTTCCAACCAAAACAACTCTATGATTCTGCAAGAACTGTAGAGGAAGCAGTTAGCAGTGATGCATCCTGCTTGCACATGACAGATCTCAGTGATATCACATCTCTGGTTTTCTCCAAGTCTTTTTTTTTTAACTCTCCATTTGAAAGCAGAGAAGCCAGTAATAAAGAAATTGTTTCCCCACTGTGAAGGAAAACACTTTTATGAGCAATTGATGTTTGCTGCACTTACACAGACTTAAAAAGAAAGGCCCATGTAAACCGAACATTGTGGATTTTGTTCTCTCCCTGGAATTCTAATCAAAGCAAAGGCCAATTTTCAATTCATGCAAGAAGAAAATTAAGTAATACCTGGCTGCAGCATGCTCAATGCCTTTCTGGTTCTCATCAGTGCCACAAAGCCAGGTGAACAGCAGTGGTCAACCTACAGCCCTTCTCACTTGTAGGCAGCAACAAAAGGACACAGACAGGTTTGCTGATGACTGAAGAGCTTTCTAGAGATAATCTACAAAGATAGGTGCGGCTGAGCCAAGAACACTGAAAAGCTGCATATTATATATCATTTAGGTCTTGTGACCCAGGCAGAGCTTCAGACTCCGTGGATTAAGCAAAGGACCTAGTTTTACACACCAACAAGTACTAAGCTTGGCAGCTAAGTATACAATGACACTCTGAATTGCCATACATGAACCTCTCCCAAACTCTTTTGGTCACACAGAGCCTGGCAATGTACTTACATATGTTCAAACGCCTACCATAAAGCCTGCAAAGATCCCCTGCAGCATCTCATCATCTTACACAGCAGTAACTATTCTTTGCTTCTTCACTGCACCCACAGGGCCATTACCAGGCTAAGGATGTGTTGAACATACAAAGATGGTAAACATACCTTTCTGGAGTTAGCACTGGTCATGTCAGAGCAGGCCCTACTCTGTCTTGTCAGCAGCAGCAACTGGAAAATTCAAGAAGTAAAGCAAGGAAGACTGTAGTTTGCAAACTTCCTCCTTACAGCAATGGCACTGAAGACCTACAAGAGAGGAAAAAAGAAATAAATCTATTAATGATAACAAGATCCATGCTGATCATTTCTTGTGCTACACTAAGGACCATCCTTTGCACTTTCTCTCTGAAAGCACTGGGTTAAATTGCCAAGATTATTGAAAAGGGCAGCCAGCTCCGGTTTGCAACACAGCAGCTGTCTCTGTTGAGAGGCATTCCTCTCAACGCCACTCCAGCTGAAGCTGGAAGGTCAACTCCAGTTTAAAAAGAGGATGCAGGTACTGTGCTATATTCTTTGGGAAGTGAAGGAACCAGGGCTTAGATCCTCTGAAATCCTAACTCCTCTTGACTAGAGGATATGAGCGTTAAACACATCTACATCTCACTCTATAAAACAGCACTTCCAGGAGCAAAAGGCCTTCTCATGTGCCAGTCTGGTTCTGGTAAGGGTGTCATCTGTTCATAAATATGCCTTGGAGATTTGATATGCAACCACTGAACTGAACCAAATCTGTTTGGACTACAAAATTTTCATCACAATATCACAAGCTGGTGTTGCAATATACAGAGAGCTGAAACAAAAAGGATTTATTATTCTATTGAAAGATCTCTTTTGGCCAAATTTGAATAAAAGCATCATATACTGATACTTCTGTAAGATCATAAACTCAAATGAACACCAGCTGAAGAAGAGGACAAATGGTAATGCCAGATGACAAACTGATACAGTCATCATATTCATCAACACCAACAGCAGCCGGTCACTTCCTCCCCTTTGCTGAATTAGCCATGAGGATTGTTTTGATGATTCTGTAACAAGAATGTGTTAAAACCATGCATCTCAGTGGCAATTCAGGACAGGAAACTCAGAAGCCCACATCTGAGGAGGGGATGGTAAATAAAAGACTTGGTAGGAAGGACTAGAAAGAGTTAAAAAACCAAAATGTAACTGTGCAGTAGTGGGAGCAGTGGCAAAAAAAAAAAAAAAAAAAAAGAAAAAATTAAAGACTAAAAAGCAGGAAAAGTTGACAATAAAAACATACTGCATTATTCAGATTTGTGGAAGAGTGTGTGAACAGAAGTGATGACAAAAGCTACAAAATTCAATATGATCACTTGAAGGGTGGGAGCTTTTTGCAAGCAAACACACTGCGGCAAAGGAGAGTCGCAAAACATTTGAAATAAACATTGAAATTTTACACATTGAGTTACAAGCTTGTTTATAGGCTTCACGTGGCCTTGTTTCTTTGTAATGCTGAGAAGTCAGACAGCTGCATTGTACACATGGCATTTTCAAGTGACAGTGGCATTTTCAAAGGAGAAATCTGTTCAGCAATTTGGTACTCGGGTCTCTGTTTTGAGACAAAAGCACCGATATTGATTTCAGAGGGGAGGAAAAAATCATACCTGAGGCTTTAAGCACAAAGCCATTAGAAAAGGAATGTCTTTTTACTTCTGTTTTTAAATTATCACAGGTTGACTGATTTATCTTTATCAATTATCATAAGCAGCTGGTCATATAATGTAAATTCAGAACATACAAGAAAAGGAATGGTTGTTCATCTTTTCAAAGCACCCAAACAAGGTTCGGTCAAAAATAAAAGCACAGGTAAAAACCTGAATTAATTAAAAAGTTGAAATTTTCATGTTTGGAGTTTTTAGTTACTCTTTTAAAAGTGCCATCAGTTTGACTTCTTTCAGTTTCAAGCAGCTTCCCAAATAAAAGTATCACATCAGCCATGCTAAAGCCGCTCTTCCTCTGAACCATCCATCACCCCAGGAAGCCCACATGTCACAGGGGGCAAAGGGAGAGGGCTGTGAAGCTGCAGAAGAGGTCAAAAACACTTCTGCACTTGGATTTTCCCTGCTGTTACCTTCACAGCTGTTCCAAACATGAATTAAAGTGGGGAGCAGGAGCACACCCTCTGCTGAAAAGGCCCAATACAGCTTGCTCTCGCAAAAGCCCCTCTAAAAATCAACCCTGTAGCACCCATATGCATTTGCATTCCCCTTCCCAGACACCCACCCCAACCCCCCACCCCCCCCAGATTAAGGAACTTTGGGTCTGATCCAAAGCCCACTGGAAGGGCTCATCAACTGCAACAGGCTCCAGACCAACCCAGAAAATCAAAAAAGGTTTTATTCAGACTGAGAAGCATAGTGATGTTTTCCTACATTTTTTTTTCCAAGCCTCATTAAAGCCACAGGTGTGGGGAAAACTGTTACTAAAGCAGTAATAAAAATATGAAAGACTATTTCACCTATGGACCTGGGATGGGGCTTTTTTGTTTGCCTTTTTAACCTAAATATTTGTTTTGGAAGCAATAAAAATAGAGGAAAAGGCAGGAAAAGGAGGATTATTTCATTACTGTCATGATTTCGCTTTTTATCAGAGCCACTTGGTCTTATGCAAAGCCTAGGGGCAGTCAGGAAAAGAATGGAATACTTTAGGGAAGAATAAAGTAGGTAAAAAAAGCAAACTACAAAAGAATTATCTGTAGCTTGTACCACTTCTTCCAAAGCTCATTTCATGATTGGGCCTTCAAATGAGGCTGCTCTTCATTTGCAACAGAAACCACTGTACGAGGTCCAAACAAGTCTGCCAGAACAACCTCTGAGAGATTGTTTTGCTCTGCAGCAGCTCCTTAAACCTGAAGTCATCTACCTCTCCCCCTGTAAAAATACTTTCTTGCAACCTGTGGTGAAGCCTCAGTTTTCACCTGATTCTGGTCTAGCTCTGAAATACCTGGCATGTTGTTGAAATGCTCTCAGAAAACTTGTGGTGGCCAGGGGTATGTTCTTCAAAAACCAGAAAGGATTTCCTCAGGGAAAGACCCATTGCCAAGAGGGCCATGGACATTTTGGAAGTCAGTCAAGCTGAAATAGTCTTACACGTCGCTTTGTGTTTTACTGAACACCCACTGTCTCTTGAGATGCCCCTCTCCTCACCTGCACCCATCTTTTGTGATATCCAGCAGGCAAGCCTCCTCCACTCTCTTAACCAAGAGGATCCTGCATGTTACACTAGAGAAGCATTATTCTTAGTTAGGAACAACAGCCACACACCCTGTTGGGTAGCACCAAGGGATTTCAGAAATGAGGGTTGAGAAGTTCAAAAAATATCGATGTTATTTCCCTTGCAGGTGATGGAAATAAAGTGCTTTCTGTGGCCTGCTGTAATTTCATGTCAGCCAGGCAAGTTTCTCAAACAGAAGCCAAAACAAATTCTCTAAAAGCACTAATCAAAAGTCCATCAAGGTTCATACAAAGACTGACTTCAGTAAGCTTTGGACCAGGCCATAGATAAATGCACAACTTGCGAAACTAAAGACAAACTTTAGTGCAGGCCAGACCTATTAAGAAAAACTTGTAAACCTCAATATTTGCAGGTTTCTTCCTCTGACTCTTTCAGGACTATGCTCTTCTCTTAGGGAAGAGCAACATAGAATCACAGAACAGTTAGGGTTGGACAGGACCTTAAGATCACCTAGCTCCAATCCCCCTGCCATGGACATGGTTTAGTGTGAGGTGTTCCTGCCCATGGCAGGGGGGTTGGAACTAGATGATCTTAAAGGTCCTTTCCAACCCTAACTGTTCTATGATTCTATAAGAGCATCTTCATACAGTACCATATTGTGGAGCCTGTGAGTTTCACCAAGTGGTTCTATGTTGTCTGAAACACTCCTCCACACAACAGGGAAAAGGAAACAAAGGTTAAGTCTTACACAGCAAGCAGCCAGAAGAGTGAGCAGAAAAAGGCATTCACTAAAATAGGGTTAGACTGAAGCTATTACAGCTTACATGATTCTCTGTCCCTCTCTATGCGAGCCTCAAGATCCCTGAAACTAAGTTACACATAACTCTGAAGTTAAGTAGGATAGAGCAAATGCATACGACTGTGAAAAGGTGCAGGTCATCAGTTTTGATAATTTCTTATTGAAACTTATCTGGACACAAGGGTCACCTTCTCAAGTACTCCCTCGAAGCTTTATGTTTGTGTTCTGCCTTAGAAGACGTTGAAGTACATCCTGAAGCCCCAGTGCTCAGGACGCATCAGGGAAGAGAGGTTTTAAGATTATCATATACTCTAACTTGACATTTTATTTCTTCACCAATATTAACTTGGTGCCCTATGTCCATTTCATTTTTCTCATACAGTGACTAGGCAGACAGTAGAGCTGTTTATAGATAAATTTGTGAGGTCTTTTTGTGCAATACATCTCCCATCACACAGACTGGAACAGTGTTGCAATGTAGTATATGGGGAAAGTGCATTGTAGCTCCAGGGCCAGTTTTACAGAGTTATTTGGGCACCTATACACTTTTGCAAAGAGATCCCAAAGTGGTTAATACCAGAGAAAAATTTATTCTCAGCATTCATCCTGGAACAGCAAGACAGAATTTGCCAGCCCCTAAGAGAATGAACTTCTGTAGTCAAACAAGAAAGTTTTTACATTAGCTTGATGTCCACACAAATCTTTTAATACAAAAATAATTTTCCTGCATCTGATTTTTAATACATTCTCTCCTACCCCTGAACACATATTTGTGAATATACTACAAACTCAGTGATGACAAACATACTTAAGCATCTCTTTACTTATATTAGATAAGGAAAGTTATAATTTCATGATAATTTTTGATCCCACTGAAACCAGTGAGGTTTTGCTATTTGTTTCAGGGTGAGGGGGAACTCTCCCCTTCAGCAGAGATCTCCGACGACAACTTTTCCCCACTCCCCTCTTCCCCTAAGGAAATATTACTCTACCAGCATGTTGTAGGTGCACCTTTGCATTTATAACAAAAATGTAAATAATTCAAGGTAATAGCAGAATCTTGTGTGTTCTGGCAAAATCATCGATTTTCATCAGGGAGATAATTTTGGCTAAAGTCTGGAATACAGTCTATTCTTTGCCACTAGGGATTTGTGTGAAAAAGCAAACCTGGAATACCTGCCTAGAATGGCCCAAGAAACATTTACCTTACCAATAAAAACGGAGGCCCACTTAACTATTTCCCCTAAAGGGCAGGTATTCATCTAATCGCATCTGGAATCCTTTCCAACTTGGTTCCTGCAGCTAATGCTACTCTGTCATGATCTGATGCTTTAATCCTAGTTATTAAACCGCTCACTCTAGTTGATAATAAAAAAAATGTGGACAAATGCCTTCCTGTCAGTGCACCAACCTCAGAGCAAACACTGTGAAGTGGGCCCCCTGCTTTCTCTAAGCAAACAGGGAACACCATTTGGAATTCAGAGTTTCAAAGAAGAGCTGCCAGACCTAATGAAAATATTGGCAAATTTACCAGGGTGGGTTTTATTTAAACCCTAAACAACAAAAACCCCCCAAACACAACAGATCTCAGCCTTTGCAAATTTTCCCTACTAGACACAAAGAAGTTCTTTTCAGTGGTCTCAGCAGACAAAACATAACACATACATAATGCGTACATAATGTCTGAGCCAGCTGTGATATACTTTCACTCAAAATGTTTTTAACAAAAACAGATTTGTTAACAGATGCATCAAGTTCTTCATGATTTTACAGGGAGGAAAGAAAAAAAAAAAATACACCCACAATTCCAGGTCCTCATTTCCCAATGTTTCATTAAAAGCAAATATTTTTAGATCCAAGCGATAAAACTTTGCCAGCAGCCTCTGCTGACTAATAAGCCATTTTCTGTTGAAAACACAATATTGATGTGAAAATCGCCAACTAGCTGGGGTTTTTTTCAATATATTTATATAGCTATAAATAAAACAGACATACCAGATAGACAACACACCACATGTGAAAACAAATTGAACTTGGTATAGCAAAAGGTTTCCATTTCCATCAGTGCAAACTTGAACCTTGTCCACACATTCCACAGCATGGGACTGGATGGATTTGTCAAAATCCAACTGCACAGCCACAAAGTAATCCCTCTCATGATCCATTCCCTGCTGAGCCATACACACACGTACTAGTTCGGTCACACGAGAAGATAACCTCTAAAAAAAAAAAAAAATAAATAAAAATCACAGAACTCAATTATTTGAGCCTGAAATGTTAATTGCAGAATTCAGACATTCACTTTCTGGCCCAATGTAGAAACCTTATTTCAGTCTTGAAGGGTGAAGCTATCACTTCATTTCTCAGTTCTAGGAAAGGGTAATTACGGGTTTTTGGCTATTTCCCTCAGTAACTCAAGTGCATTCCTGCAAGAGGGATGCATCCTCATTCCTATCTCAGGAGCATTGCTGGCTAATCCTCTTGGCCCCTCATCAAGGCAGTGTAGTTAGAGGCCTCGTAGTTAGAGGTCTCTGTGGTGTCAGGAATGCAGTACTACATATCAGAGTCGCTGCTGTTCAAAGAACTGAAGAAAGTCGCAGCAGTAACAGGACAATTTTGGCCCTCAGTTAAAGGATATAGGGCTAGCAAAGATCACAGTCTCAGCTGAGAGCTCTCAGCCTACAGGGTAACCTTCTTTCTGCCACCAGCTCTGGTCCCCACCTTCACCCCAGCCAAAGGACTCAAGTTGCCTTGGCTCTCTTTTGCTGGGGTAGTTTCCTTCCATTTTAGCACACGCACCCAAACTGAAGCAAGAGAAACAGCAGGAACACATGGCCAGGAAGTATCAGCAGGCTATTAGATCAGCTCATCCATCTTGTGGTACCTCATCTGTAACTGTCTAAATTAGAAATACAGTCTCCTTAGTCCCATACATAATCAGGAGAGAAAGACTCCGAGTGAGTGTGATTCAAAATGCCTAGGGTTAGTCCTTTCACAAGAGCTTTCAGAGTGCAAGCTTCAGCCTTCCCCAGAAGAAGCCTGCAGAGATTAACCTCTAAATTTAGGAGTGTAGATCAAGGCAGAATGATTAGTCCCCAAAGAAAACAATTCCTGAGTTGAATCGTCCACTGCTACTGAGATTTACCTAAAACAGGCAAAATGAAATCAATGCCTAAAAGAAACACATCAGGGAACCTCAGGGCAGGAATGACAAAGGCATCCATAAGCTTCACACAGGGTAGTGACATCCTGGCAGCCATCTGGCAGCAGAAGACTCAAGTCCCTCAGACCTGCTAATACCTACTTCCAGCAGCATTTACTCACAGAGGCAGCCACTGCTCATTCAGCTCCTGGGGCTTCATGGATTACCTCACCTCCAGTGGGGCCAGGAAGCAGGAATTGTAAATTCAAAGTGCATTTTCAGGTAACACATCAGATCACCTGCTGTTAGAATAATGCACAAAAAGGAAAGGTATGGATTAGTCTGAGACGCACCCAGACATAGCTGCCAGGCCTCTGCATTTCAGCTAGATTACTTTTTTTGTTGCTGTTCACAATGAACATGAATGAAACATTTGACCACCTCCAAAGGATGTGGTGCTGGATCTGAGGAATTCTATGCATTGATTGAAAAGATAGATATTAATGCCTTTTTTTCTCCTGTGCTCGTCTCAGCAATGTCTGTGCGGGTCACAATAGAATGGCCAGGTCTGAAACAACGTATTAAAGCCAAATACAACATCCAGAAGTCCTTGATCTCAGCCCAAGTCTCAGCCATTTGAGTCAATGGCAAGACTCCTGCTGGGGTCAGCGATCTGTGCTCAAATCTTCAGTGCTTTTTGGCAATCGCCACCCAAGCACAGTGCTCAAATCCGAAGAGGACCTAATGCTGAAAGGCAGTCCAAGCCACGTTTTGAGACACAGTACACATCACCACAAATCACACGTCACCACAAATCATATTTTAGTTACTCTGTAGGAAGAAATACAAAGAGTTAGGGTGTGGTGGAAGTGGTTATCTGACAAGCTTGAGATGAACATCTTACAAATGACTAAGCTTTTGCTGAGTAATACTGACATCAAGCAAAACAACTTACTATAAAAACCTTTAGTCTACACTACAGTACTGTTTCAAAAACAGTGGCAGCTATTTGACAGATGCTCAGAGGTTCAGAATTTCAGAAGTAGACCTAAAAAAGGCAGATTAATGAGCAGATGATGGTGAGGTAGTAAAGTTGCACAATAAATGAAACTTAGCAGATGGCTCTGCAACTATAAAAATCTCCAGATTCCTAGATTAGATAGACAGAGAGGATACTTCCTTTATTTTCCTGAATTATTTCTGCCTTTTCCTTATGACTCTGGCAGTATTGCTGCTATCTTCTTTTTAAATAGTGCAACTTTCCAAATTTATTTTCCCTTCTGCTTTAAGCATAATGGATCTCATCAGACAAACTTTCTACTCTATCAACATGAAGGAAAACATTAGGGCACACATTCGGAGCTGCATATGCACAGCCCCATGTTTCCTAGGAAACAAGCGATTGCTCATCTCTGTGCCGAAATAAATTGATGCATTGGTTTTGGCTTCCTACAAACATTAGTATTTTGATTCAGGACAGAATCCCAAACACTCCCATCAGTTGTGATCATCATAATTCAGCTTCTGCTGCTTAGCTTTTGAGAAGCAAGACTGCATTGCTTGTTAGAACAGTTAAAGATAAACTCTGATTACGCAGTGGAGGTGCAGACCTGAAGACAGGCAATCAGAGACACCATCGGTACTCTCTGCTCAGGGCGCCAGCAGAGCCATATGCATCCCTGGGTGCTCATGTGCAGCCATCTGGGGAGGAAGAAAATTAGTGCCTCCCACCGCAGCACCTTCTGTTGGCTGTGCAGAGATGAACAGGAGTCAGAAAACAGGAATTTTGGCTTTGGGTTACCTTTGACTGACCAACTCCAAGTTTAAAGAGTGTCATTGTGACACGAATCAATGCTCCCCCAGGTATTTCCACATTCATTCAAAAGAGTCTGGATTTCTCTCTTCTTTCATTACCTCCAGGAGTTTCCTCCTTTAAACTTCATTTACTTTCATGTCTCTACGGGATTATTTTTTCTTAAAACAATATTCCAGAGTTGATGCTGATGTATTCCCTAATGATATTTTGCTTCAGACAATTCCAATATTGATTTAACACTGTGTTCCTGGAATCTAACTCTTAATAGCAGAGTAATTGCAATGTTAAGCTAAACGCTTGTGACAATTTGACCCTCAACACTAATATCACAGTAAATAGAAATCGGTCTGATTCTGCATGAAGGGCTATTAAGGAACATATAAGCACATTTCAGATGTTCTGAATTGCAGTCTTGTCAGTAGCATATACATTAGGAACTTAGCTATCAAAATCTAAATTTCCTGAAAACTCTCTGTCATCTGAAAGATAGTCATGTCCCCTGACATCTATTAATTGCACTGAAAATTTCCTCATTATTCAAAATGTCGATTATATGAACTTATGCAATGTCTCCCCTGACATTTGGATAATCGAGGTTGTATTGCATATGGGCCATTCTTGCAAATCTTTGAAGACAATTGACTACCCTCATGAGTAAAGGTTTGCAAGATCAGGCCATATAACACGTATGAGAAACATTCATCAAAAATAACTTCAAAATAATTTGTTGTATATGACCAAGTGTTAGTATCAATAAACGGACATCATGGTAATAAGGCCTGAGTGTATAGCACAGGTCTTTCCTAATATAGCATTACTAATAGTTGATATTGATCAGCCAGCCAACCTGAAACCTCTTAAGCAACTTAACTGCTTTTTCTTTTGAGAATGGCAGTGTAAGTTTCAGCAAAGGCTACTTTGTAGAAATACAATAGTTTAAATTTTTCTGCTACTTCTTCTTCCCTTTAACTCTTTCACAAGAGGTGCTCCCATTCATCATTGCAAATACTTCAAAATCTGAATAAAGGCAAGCTCCTTAAAATAACTAGCCAATATGAATTTCTAGGACCAAAATAAAAGTTTGGAAGCTCAAGAGATTGATGCAATTTTGCTGCCAAGTGAAGAAAGCTACATCCCTTCTGTCATGGGGTACGGAGTTCTGGCAGGGGAAAAGAAAAAGGGAAAGAAACTGTTTGCATGCAGTCTCAGCAAAAGAAACAGAACTTATACTCAACTGCTCATGCCTACGGCATTGCTTCTTTAACAAGCAGTTGTACGTGCAGGTGTGGGCGCTTAATTCTGCTGCAACCTGGACCTAAGCCAACTTCTGCACAAATTCCACTCACAACAACCTACTGGATGGGGATTAACAACACAAGCGTCCTTCTTGTCATGTCTTCTAACAGTTAAAGACGTTTCAGATTTTTTTCCTTATACACTGTTGATTATATACTCTGCCCTCACAGCTTTGAGGAACACCATAAATATACTTTACAGAAACTTTAACATCCTCTGTGTGTGTGTCTAAGGAAAGAAATAAACTATTATTTCACAGATTACCAATTTTTTCTTTCTTCAGTTGGGCAAAAGAATAAAGTCCTGAACCCACAAATATTTTCCTCCACAACTAACAACTCCTACAGCATAAGATGCATCACACAGCTGTAAACACTAGCCAGCCTTCACTCTGGAACAGTCCCTCAAGCTTTGCCTCATCGCTTCACTTGTTCCTTCACTACACAGCACTAGCACTGCAGCCTAAGCATACAGAGAAGAGATGCTTTTACTCGCATCCTCCAGGTCTTCTACGTTCGGGTGTATCCCCCTTGTATCTTGGTCACATTTTGGCCTGGCAGATGTTTCATGAGGAAGTTAACAACTGGACACAGGAATTCGTAAATAAAACTTCAGAGCACCTTATGTTTACACTGAATATTGCACATGGACCTACAGATATATCCAGGCACATAAATAAATGTAAAAGCTTTGTTAACATATAATGTCAGCATTCTTTGCTGACAAAGACATAAATGAATATCAGGGACTGAGACATTTTATCTTTCTCTTGGATTTTTTCACCCCACATGTGCTGCATATTAGATTCAGAAAATTTAACAGGTCCATATGGCTAAATGGCAGCATTATGTGACCTACAAAAACCATGCTGAAGGATGCAGAGAGGCAAACATTATTGGGGTTAATCTTGAAAAAAATAATATATTAGAAGTGCTCAACTATAATTTTCCATCTGTTGCAAACCCATAAAATTTGCAATAGGCATCGTTTCAAATTAATAATATTATTTGCTAAATGCACATTACTGGTGATGCCCACCTAGGGATAAGTCCAAACCACAGCACTCCGACATGATAATTTATTCCAGCAGCAAAGAAAAAAGAAAAAATTGCACTCTGTTCTCTAAGCATAATACACTTTGCTTTAGGGCATAAACCATATATTCAGCTCCCCATCAGGAGGCTGTGCAGTAGCTATACTCCAGAGAATTAACTGGGTGGTATTTTGCCCTCTGCTGTGGGTATCCAAATCCCCAGATGAACGGGGGTGAGGCTAGAGAGACGGGGAGGAAATCAAGATTCAAAGCCAAAATACATCCCTAACTGACAGGAAGGGATTCAGAGCCTGCAGTCCTATGCTGTCAATTCATCCTTAAGGTACCTCCCTTTACTATGACAAGGGGAGAAATCATACCAAGGAGAGAATTCTCTTCTATCAACTCACAAGCCTCTCAGCTCTTCTAACAACTCACATCCTCCATTCACCTCTCCAGCATGTCTTGGCCACAGATGACTTGCACAGGCATAGGACGATTCTTCCTCAAAACCACTGCCCAGGCCACACAGCCTGTCCCCACAAGGGTATCTCCACACTGGAAAAAATCCACTGTGGTTTTACTAGGTGCCAACTTTCACCAAAGCATCCAAGGCTTTTCCCTACAAGTTTAAAAATTACTATGCAACATAAGGAACAGCCTGCATTTCCCACATAATCAGGGGTGGCAGGCATTATTTTGTTTTCTAGCCAGGTATCTTGAGAGAAATGTGGAATCCTATTCCCACTACACTCTTTTCTGATAAAGAAAAAAGAAAAAAAGCATAGCAAGATTGTAGAGGTCAGACAAAAACATCTGATTACTGCCGTTAGTATCAGCACTTTCTCAGGGTTCAAAGACAGAGCTTTCTATAACTGCACCCAATTCACTTTTCCTGTTAATCATTACCTCACTTTCTAGCCAGAAGAAGCATCAGAGATGTGCAGTGCAGCCTCATGTCTTTCATGCATCCTGACAGTGGTACATTTAAATGCCACTCGTCAGCCTCTGAAAGAAGACAACACTTGCTTTGTACACTAGTAACGGGTGACTAATTCAAGCTACAGTGCAAACTAAGTATTTACACAGCCAGTAGTCAAATCAGATAGAAATACAGAGCAAGATGCAACTCAACCAGCACAAACCCTTGCTGAGAACCAACATCCTGTATTAAACCCACTCCCTGTCTGCAGCATCAAAATTTTCACTTATCCAAGATCAGATGAACTCATAAGTGCTAGAAAGACAATTAATAAATGAGATAAGACCTTCCTTTTTCCTTTGGGAAGAACACTAGATTGCTCCATTAAGATTACTGCAGCTGCATAACGTTAATAAAGGCATATCACTTTGCTAATGGGACCATCACTTCCAGAAGATTCCTTCACTCTCATATAAACTTTATATCCATGCAGCCAATTTAAGTTCATTTGCTGGATCATACAGTGCCAGACATCCCACTGCAAAGCCTCTTTTGCCACCATATCCCTAACTGGATTTTTACTTCTGTACACAATCTTAACTGCTACATGAAAAAAAATTCCTGCCTAAATTGATCTATTCCTTTATATTTCAGGGATTTCTTAAACCAGTCTGATTCTGAATTAATTTCTCCAGGAAGGAGAATTGCATTTTGCAGAATTTTCAGACAGACTGGTTCCCACCATCCCCCAGTCCTCCCCTTCTCCTTTCCCTCCCTCCCTCCCTCAATGCAATTTAGGTCACTTGAATACAGGCATCTCCAAGTCATAGGTGCAACCAGGGTATCGCACATAAGTGATCTACAAAGAGGTCTGGTGAGGACTGAGCTGAAAATCTGAATCTTAAGGGATTTAAAGAAACATCATCTAATAAGCATCATCCTTTCTTCCAACTCCAGAATGATCACATTGAAAGAAACCAAAGTGCACAGTTTCTTAGCTTCATGCAAAGCCATTGCTTTATTAATTCATGACTGCACAATAGCAAGATGGTAAATAATATGCAGAACTAACGTGCAGTCAAAGAGGAAAGGATTTTCTTCTGCTATGAAAAGGCAACGAGGAGATTCAAACATACAGAATGAGTCTTAGTTATCACCCACATATTTTTCAGGTGCAGAGGCCTTGTAATTCACCCCAGAAACATTCACCTCCCATAAATTTCAGATACAGGCAGATCTCAGAGGAACCTGGAGCAGAATGAGATTCATCCCACGGAAATCTGCTGACAGACAGCAGAGTTGCAGTCCAGCCTTCTGCCACACATCCCTTAGGCACCATGGTAAATTACTGATCATTGCTCCTCACCTCTGTGCTTAAACTAGATCCTTAATGCATATTCTTGTGGAGATTAACAGCTGCACACAATCCCACCTTTAAGCCTTCTATACATACACACGTATCTATTAGCTTCTAAAACAACTGGTATGAACCCTGTACACTACCTTTTCTTCAGGAAGGAGATGTTCAACTGAAGTGTCTTTCACTAAACATGGAGAGAGAAACCCAAGCTTCACAAGGTTAGAGCCAAAGCGAGACACTGGGAAACAAGATTGTCACCTGTGAGTGTAACAGGAACTATGTTTTCAGTACCCATATATGCAGCTCTTGAAAGGAGGACAGTTTTGCTTTGAAAGCAAAAGATTCACATCACTGCATGAAATACAGTGGTCAATATAGCAAGAGTTAGGAATTACCATACACCCAGACACAAGAAACATTGGAAGGACTGAAATCAAAGAGAAAACTGATTTTGAAAAAAAAACAAATAAATCAGATTTTTTGCATGACAAAATCTTCAGCATTTCTGAAGCTGTTACATCAAAGAGCCCTGTAGTTCTTACTGAAGCCACTTACCTCACAATTCTGATCAAAAATCACAAGACTAAGTGTTAAGTCATGCACAACAAAATCACTTTGAGACCACACACACAACAAATTTAGTAAGATAAGGATATAGAAAGGACCCCTGCATTACTGAGTCTATCCCCAAATGACCACACCTTCAATTGCAAAAAGCAGGGACACCACTCATCTTCAACAAACAGGCTAGCAGCACCATTTTTGACCCTTTTCTCTCAAGGGCCATGCCTTGATTTCTAACAAACATTTGAGAAATCACAAAGGAACAGAGCCCCACTGCACACTCACCTCCTAAAAACACTCTTTCCTCTGCTGCACTTCAGATTTGAGCTGACCTTGAGGTAGGTTGAAAAGATCATGATCAGACAATAGACACCTGGTAGTCAGCTCTTCCCCAGGTTTTGTAGTTCACCCTAATGCCTGACTGGCTCCTGCAGCTCCACCCTCCTGAGGAAGGAGCCCCACAGATGAGCCCTTAGAGCCCCCACAGCAAGCAGAAAGGGCTCTTCTTGGCTTTAGCACAAGGACCTCTCAAAGATACCTCTCCAGAGATTTCCTCTTTTTTAATAGAGCACATGGAGTGACCACTTACAGGGACAAAGAGCTGCTCTTTCACCTGTTCTGTGCTTTCTCCACCAACCGCCTTCAGACCAGCAGATTAGACCTGGAAGTTTTCAAGTGCTTAATTGTTAGAACCCAACTCAGGTCTGAGCCTTGCTATGCATGATTTTCATAGGTCTAAACTATATTTATACTGCAAGTTGGATTCCTCTGGCTCAGCCTTAGCAGCCAACCTGAGGTGCTTCTTATCTAAACCTCCAAGTTGGTGATGAGGAAGGGACACCTGCAGAGCATGGCTAAACATACCTGCTGGCACAGCTGCCCTCAGGAGGAAGGGTCTCTCATCACTGACAGACAAGGTTGCCAAAAGCAGGCAGACTCCTGGCGTAAGCATCTCAGCAAAGTACTTAATTTCTATCTGAGATAAAGCCAACCATTGCTATAAGACACTTTTTAGGAAGTCTGACCTCCCAGAAACTGGCAAGAAACTAACCTCTGGCTGTGATGCCCATTACAAAGCAGAACTCTTTTCACCAGAGAAACAAGCCCTATCTGTCCATACTCTGCCAAATTAAACTTGTGAAAATTTGTTTCTTCCCTTAAACAGGGTGTTTATTCACACAGCAGCTGTCAGACCCTCTGGGTCTCTGATACAGTGGTATTTTTTTCTTACTATATTCAGCACTGAGTAGTTTGGTGACATAGAATCCTGTACATCATGTACATCATTACAGCATGTAAAATAATTTAAGTAATTATTTTTTACTGTCTACCCTACACATGAGCAATCAGGTTTATTTTAGCAACAATAGCTTTTGCCACAACCCTAGGGGCAGGAACCTAAACCATATGTACATAAAAAAGGTAACCTCAAGTTTCCTGCTCATAGCTCTGATGTGGAATACCACAGGCACATTTAGTCAATTGTCCTTCAAATGTCTTCTGTACATTTGGCTTTTTTCCCCTTTATGCTTGAGAGGACCTCAGAGGCTCAGCTTCAGGGAATGCAGCAGAGTTAGACTCCTGTTCATTTCCGTTAGCTGAATTTATGTTGTAGACTACAGTTGGGAAATGTCATATTGTTTCATGATCTTAGTTTCATGTGCAATGGAAGTACTCGCACTAGCTCTCTCTCCTCCCTACGAAACCACATTTCTTGGGATGGCTACCACCCAAAATACCTGGCAGTGAATCCAGAGAACTAGGTAAATTGCAAGGTTAATTATGAATGGGGTGGTGACGATGTTTTCATCCTCCTCTTCATCATACTGTTTTCTCTGGCAAGCAGCTCTGCATTGACAGTATGCAAGGGAAGAAATTGGTCCACATTAGAAGAGTGAAGCCAGAGATGTGAGACTCCCACACACTTCATACACGTAGCGCTGGATGGTTTTCTTCTCAAGCTGAACGTACAGCATTTAGGGAGACTCTCTGCTGCTCTAGGAGACATACCAAGAGAAACATACCATAAAAGCATGTTGCTGAGGTGAGTAGGTGTTAGTCCAAGCCTTGTAAGTTAAAAGCAACATTCATAATCTCTGCTAAATGTAATGGGTAGTCGAAGTAATGAAGCTAACCCAGGCGTAATGATTAATCTTAGTGTGAGTCGTGACCCTGGCAGCTGCATTCTGAACCAGCTGCAATCTATATAATGCATTCCCAGGAAGACCAGACAACAAGGAGTTGTATTAGCACACAGTGCAGATGGTACGAACGCATGTACCAGCAGACTCAAGCCCAGCCAAGGAGAGCAAAGGTCTTCGTGTACTAATATTCTTAAAAGGATAGTAATTTGTCTAAGATATTTATTATGCTTATCATAATCAAAGAGTTTGATTTTTAGAATTAATCCTTTTATTGCTAACAGAAAATATTACCATGAAAAAGGTTGCTAGAGTGGATGCAGTCTGAGCAATGCAAAGGATTAGCCATCAGCAATACATTTTTCCTCCTCCTCCCCCTACACAGTGTCAGGGTCATGTAAAGTCAAAACACTAAATATAGGACAACATCAGTGGAAAACAAAGCATGCTTAGCTGGACACAATGAAAACACAACATAGGGCTTCTTGCAAGGTAAACCCATCAAAACAGCATGATTAGGCTAAAACAACAACAAGAGGCTTGTTAAATCAACAGAGAGTATTTGGGCCTTAACCTAGCTCTCTATTTATGAGATTCATTCTGGAGATCTGAATACTTTTATTGCAGGAAGGGAAACCAGGGCAGACAGATTAAGAGTGCTTGGAGGGTCCTTTGGGGAAGATCCATAGGTCTGAAAGCATTTCATGGATGCATTTCCACTTGGGAAAGGCAATGCCCCATCCAGAGCAAGTGTTCACCTAAATTGGAGCTAGCTGGACTGACAAGCCTCATAATGTCTCCTGGCAAGTGCAGGAGAGATGGAACCAGTTTCTTCAGCCTGGGAAAGATCTCCTTTCTCCTGGAGAGTTCTGCTGTCACTTAGCTCCTGACTTCTTCGATCTGTCACACACTTTGAACAGAGCCACTGCTATGGGCTTTCACTGTCTACACCAGTTTCCTTTTCCCTTCAGAGCTGTCAGTTCAAAAGGTGAAAAACCTGGAAATAAGCTGGACTTTTCAAAGTTCATCTTCCATCTATTTTTGGCCATGCTCTGAATCATCTTTAAACAACCACTGCTTATTGAGAAGAGGCAGTTGTATGCATACGTTAAGTTTTGCAGTGCTCAGTACCTGGAGTTTATGCTGCAGGAATGGTGAGATGGCTGATGGGGCTATGCATGTAAGGTCTTGAGAACTTCAGTAGCAAAATAGCCAAAGAAGTAAACAGTATTACAGCATTTTGATGTTCAACCTGCTTGCTGGTAGTGCGCAGCAGCAGTTTAACATGCTTATACATGCTTGTAAAAATTAAGCAGCAGGTTTAATTTTAAGTCTAATGGTTGCTGACAGTGATTTCCTTTCCAATGATTCTCCCATCTTTTGCTTCACTTGAAAATACAATTTTAAAGGTACTTCACATACAGTTTCAAACCAAAACCCAGTTCCAGATTTCTAATCTATTCTATCATTTCCCCCTAAGCTGCCTGTCACTGCAGCAGCTGAATATCAGCCACCTTCTTATTGAAAAGTTCAGGTCTACTTCTGACCTGCACTGCAGTTCAGAATCTGTATGGCAAGTGAGACCAGCCGGGAATGGTGCCATAAAATTTCATTTGCTGAAGAGGCTTTTTTCTAAATTAAACTAGTTAGAACTGAGCTGATTCATAGGAGCACAGTACAGGTTTTAAAACTCTACTTCTGTGGATCTCAGCTATTCTCTTCTTGCTTGAAAAACATATACCTATCGATTAAGGCCTGTCCTAACGCACAGTAGCTCTGCAGTAACGCTGCAGTGCGCAGCTGTCAATATAAGGTACATAGATCATCCAAATAAAAGGAAAACACTTTCAATAGTCATAAAATAGAGATCTAGGTGCAGCAGAACTTGCAGGAAAAAAACAATGAAATGTCTTTATTCTGGCAAGCCGGTTTTGGCCCAGGTGGGACAGTGCCTGGGTTAGGCAGCAGCCTGTGCAGGTAACGAGCCTGGTGTTTTTCTAATCCAGTAGCCAGTAACCGTCAAAAGAGAGATAAAATACGCTCTTTACACTGAATGTTCCCCACATTAGTGTAGGCAGCCTTTTGGAGTCTCTCCATCTGTAGCCCACTGTAAAACAAATACCAGCATTGCTTTACTCTCTGTATGACCCTGGGCACTTGCACAAAGAATAACATGAATTCTTGCATTAATCTGTCCTGGATGAAGAAACAGTTGCTTCACCCCACTGTCTCCCATGAATGGGTGTCCCAGCAACTCCTGCACCCAAATATGGGGCCCTGAGTAAAAAGGAAGTGATACAGAAAAGTGCATGCAGTCTGAGCTATAGTAGTTCAAATCTTTGACATTTCCACAGAGTTTCTGGGGAGTAAATGGGTCAGGGGCTCATAAAGCTACAGACTCCCACCCCACAGAAAGCTCTTCATTGGGAAAACTGGTCCCCTCTTACACATCAGATAGCCATAAACAGACAAATTCCTTTCCTCCCAAGACTCTTGCAGGTTTGAATGACTTACAGGGGGCCCTTATCTTGGTTCTGGGCTCCATCGCATGAGAAACAACAAAGGTGGCTCTTAGAAGAGATGGCACAACTGAAGGCACAGTATAAACCAGTACACACCTAAATGAACCACTTCTGTTCATTTGTAGTATTCTTACTCCCCCTGCCCCCCCACCCCCCCATAACAGCAGATTATTATTCACCTACAGAAACATCTGTTCCTTTGCCACAGTCTCACTGGTGTCAGAGCTGTGCTGGAGCTACTCCTATATCCCCTTCCAGGAAAATCTCCAGTGAGGCACAGTATTATAATGCCCTGACCACTGAGAGTTGTATACACCAGATGGATAATACCAACCTGAGCACTTTAAGCACAAACACCCTACAAATTAAAGCCATCAGTCAGCTTCAAAGAGTAAGAAATATTAGCAGAT